TTATGTTTTTCTAAAACGTATAATAAACTAATAACTATAAATTCTAACTATAATTTGCAAATGTTCGGGATTTTATCAAAATTCTAACTTATAATACATACAAAAATTATCATGCCTATGTATCTTTATAATATTTTTGAATTGTTATTAAAGTAATTAATGAGGACCCTTGCATTAAATTGTTTAGCTTTTTTACTCAGTTTGTGTTTACAATAATTAAAAAAAAGTTATCAAGCCTATAAATTACTCAGTCAAAATATTTCGAAAATGTTACGTCATTGAATGCCTATGGAATATGCTAATAAAAGATTTTGATATAAATTCCAAGCATCTATAATTATTAATTTAAGTCACACTAAAAAATTAAAATCCATTTTTTAAATTGGTTTTGCATAAAAATTCCCATTTTGTTTTGACACTTTTGAAAACTACTGGGAATTTTCAATTTTAAACTTAATTTTGAGAAGTTGAGTGTATCAACTAGATTCACTTTTCTATCAGAAAARATGTTATATAATGTAACAAATTTGAAGCATTTTTACAATAACAAATGTTGACAAAAATGACAGAAAAAAAAACACAAATATGAAATAGGTAATTGTTCTTAAATATACAATCATCGTTGTGATTAGACACTAAAATTGAGGAAAACTGATATTTTTACGAAAACCAAGTTTTTGAAAAAAAATTGATTTTGTAATTTGATGTAACAAAAATAAAAATAATAACCCTACATACATGTAATTTTCGTCAAATAATTACATTAACATTTCATATTCAACGATAAATTTTAAAAATATTTTGAACCCCTGAAATATTTATAGGCATAAGAAAATTCCGATTTCATTGTTTTTATTTTTAAAATCGTTGATCAAATATTTTTCACTCGGTTAAAAAATTTGATAAATACACTAAAAAGGTTCTTCGTAAGCTAATCTAAATTAAAAAAAAAAAAAAATATGAGTGTAAAACTATAATAATTTTTGAGCTTCTAAATTTATAATTTTGACAATATTCATC